CGACATACAAACATACATACATACATACATACATACATACATACATACATACATACATACATACATACATATACACACACACACACACACACACATACACACACACACACATACATACATACATACATACATACATACATACATACATACATACATACATACATACATACATACATACATACATACATACATACATACATACATACATACATACATACATACATACATACATACATACATACATACATACATACATACATACATACATACATACATACATACATACATACATACATACATACATACATACATACATACATACATACATACATACATACATACATACATACATACATACATACATACATACATACATACATACATACATACATACATACATACATACATACATACATACATACATACATACATACATACATACATACATACATACATACATACATACATACATACATACATACACACACACACACACACACACACACACACACACACACACACACACACACACACACACACACATATATGCACCCATACAGTACGGAGAATTCTAGGAGGGAGAGTAGAAGATTGAGAGAAAGTTGAGAAAGAGGGGGAGCAGGAGGAGGAGAGGAAGAAAAAAAAAAGAAAAGAAAGTCGGCACTGAGACATGGGGAAAAAGAAAGGAAAGGAAAAAAGAAAGAAAGAAGAGGAGAAATACAGGGGGAAGAAGGTAGCAGGAAGCGAGTGCGACCACCCCGGTATCATAACTGTGTGTGTGTGTGTGGAGGGGGGGGGGTGTAACCATCCCGGGTGTCATTACTGTGCGGAGAAACGACCACCCCGGGGGACATCGCTGTTGTAGGCGGAGGGGGGGGGGGAGGCGTAAAATGCAAACATTGAGTCATTTCATCTTACTGGGTCGCAGCCGGGAATCCATGTTTTATCCATTTCCACTATAATTCGTCTGTGGTGGTATCCGCCACAAAAATGTTAATATCTCCACTTAGAATCGACTTACAGGCTTAAATGAGGTACCACTGGATTTGTAATTTTAATCTCTTATCTAGATGTCATTGTTTCAAAAAAGTAAAAACCAAAAATATAAAACTTCACCGGCATCCCTAGTATTATATATGTGTTTATCATTCTGCTTCTATCAAATATTGTATGATTCCTAAATTTAATGCATTTCTACAGTTTTCTTTATGCTACTTTTTATGTTTTTCCCGTGTGGGTTTATATATTTTTAGCCGGTATATTTTCAATGTTTTTTCAAGATTACTTAAAGCTACATTTTTTTTGGTGTGGTTTTTTTTTTTTTTTTGTTCAATAAGTTTATTTGTCTGTAAAACGTCTGTATACAATAAATGCATGTCAACTGTATTGTGCGTGTTATATTCACAAGCGTCTGCGGTGTGCGTATTTTTGTGCAGTAATATTTACAGAGCGTTGCTTCGTGTTTGTATTTATGTTGCATGTGTATGCGTGACTCTGCGAACATATAAACAAAAGAGGCAAGAGGGGGCACGAAAACATAGCAGGCGGACAGAGCGGGGAACGGGGTGAGAGGGAGGAGACAGACAAGATAGACAGGGCCACTCATTTTATCTATATTGCCTTTCGGTTAGCATCAAATGTTGTGAAAAGGTGAAACATTGGATATTTTACATTTCAAGCAGTTTATGTAGGGGGAGGGGACACAAAAGGACTTTACGAACCTGTATACTAAACACCAGAGAACAGAAAAGGACACAACCTCATAGCAGGCGGACAGGGGCGGGAAAGGGGTGAGATGCCGAAAAGGAAGATAGACAGGGCCACTCATTATATTTACATTTTAGCTTCAATTATTTCAACATTTGTAAAAGTGATATTTGGATAATTGCTTCAAATATTTACATTTATAGCCGAATGGCACAAGAAAGGACTTTACGAACATCGCATCCAACATTAAACAAACTATCGAACATATCAATTTTTTCATTGGAGAGCAAAGTGGGTGAGGAAAAGGGGGAGGCGCACACAAAAGAAGACTCTTAAACATGTATAACAAACGAAAGAGAAAAGAAGAAAGGGAAAAGAAAACACACTTTAGCAGCATGGACACAAAGGGGTAAAGCTACAACTGAAATGTAGCCTGGCAAAAATTCAAGAACACCATTTAACTGGACATTCTGTTTCGTAAGTCTTATATATAATACCATAGACTGACTGACTGTCTGACTTTTTACCCCACCAGGACATCACACAAGCGATAAACACCCGATGACACAAAGTGCCACCATGTGGATGAGGATCGCCGTGGAGAGGTCCCAGAAACCGCGTTCAGACATTTGGCCATATTTATGGCCTGCCTATATTGCGGCCCCTGGCAAAAGCCAGGGTGGGTCTTCAAATAACAAAAAATTTCGTCCTAAAAAGGACGAATGTGGATAATGAGCATAATACCATAGACTGACTGACTTTCTACCCCACCAGGACATCACACAAGCGATAAACACCCGATGACACAAAGTGCCACCATTTGGATGAGGATCGCCGTGGAGAGGTCCCCAGAAACCGCTTTCAAACAATTGGCCATATTTATGGGCTGCCTATATTGCGGCCCCTGGCAAAAGCCAGGGTAGGGCTTCAAATGTCAAAAAATTTCATCCTAAAAAAGGCGAAAATTGATAATACCATAGAATGAATGAATGAATTTCTACCCCACCAGGACATCACACAAGCGATAAACACCCGATGACACAAAGTGCCACCATGCGGATGAGGATCGCCGTGGAGAGGTCCCAGAAACCGCGTTCAGACATTTGGCCATATTTATGGCCTGCCTATATTGCGGCCCCTGGCAAAAGCCAGAGTAGGGCTTCAAATGACAAAAAATTTAGTCCTGAAAAGGACGAAACTGGATAATACCATAGACTGACTGACTTTCTACCCCACCAGGACATCACACAAGCGATAAACACCCGATGACACAAAGTGCCACCATATGGATGAGGATCGCCGTGGAGAGGTCCCAGAAACCGCGTTCAGACATTTGGCCATATTTATGGCCTGCCTATATTGCGGCCCCTGACAAAAGCCAGGGTGGGGCTTCAAATAACAAAAAATTTTGTCCTAAAAAGGACGAAACTGAATTATTAATACCACAGATTGGATTGGCTTTTTACCCCACCAGGACATCACACAAGCGATAAACACCCGATGACACAAAGTGCCACCATGCGGATGAGGATCACCGTGGAGAGGTCCCAGAAACCGCGTTCAGACATTTGGCCATGATGATGACCTGCCTATATTGCGGCCCCTGGCAAAAGCCAGAGTGGGGCTTCAAATTTTTTTTTTATTTTATTTTTTTTTTTTTTTTTTTTTTTTTTTTAAATCTGTTTATTGGTTCAAAACATAGTTTACAATACTTCTTATATACATTTACAAAAGCAAAAATAATAAAATGAGAAAAAGTGATTTTAAAAAAAAAGATGGTGCATGTTACTAATCCTCCACCAACATTTGAAAGAGAATAGATTAAAGCAGGAGGCAGAAACAGACAGCGGGTAAGGAAAGGAGGGGACTATTCATGTTTCTTTGTTGGTGGAGTTGGTACCTTGTTGTGATGGTTGTAATGATAATGGCATGGTTACATCGATTATACATAATTTTTTTTTTTTTTTTTACATACTTTTGAAAAATAAAATATGGTGGAGGTAAAGACGCATATGTGAAATGACCCCACATCTCACCAGCCTTTGTCGGAAAAGGAGGAATAAAAGGACTGGGTAGGGCTATACAACGGAAAATTGTATCCCACTTTTTTCCTTGGTACGCTGCAATGCGACGTCACTTGGGCGCCGTCTGGTCTGCCAATGCTCTTATCACGCCACCGCTCGAAACTGTCGGTTCGCGGGAATGTGTGATCGGCTCTACTATTGACGTTTCTCAAGTGGCCGGTCAGTCTGACACTTTCTGATTACAGGGCGGAATGGCCGCAGGTAAACAGTACATTGTTCACCGGTTGACGCGATGAAGGTTTTATGGCTTCTCAGACAAAGTTTGCTTTCACGGCTCAGTGGTGTTACGTCCTTGTGAGATAAAGCCTGGTTTGAATCTAACCTTGATGACTTAATGGGGTGTACCTAAAAGGATTCATTGTTTTCCCTGATATTGGGATAACACTGTATTTATATATTTCTAGTTAATATGATATGACATAATATATATATAATATACAAAAAAGGCATTATATACAGGACATACATGTATGCAAAATATTCATTTCCATTCCATTATTCCTACTCTCTTTCTCCCCCCCCCCATTTACCCCCGCTTCAAATTTTTTTAGGACATATTGATTGAATACAACGCTTAACTCTATACCATAGGATTGGATTGGATTTTTTACCCCACCAGGACATCACACAAGCGATAAACACCCGATGACACAAAGTGCCACCATGCGGATGAGGATCACCGTGGAGAGGTCCCAGAAACCGCGTTCAGACATTTGGCCATAATGATGACCTGCCTATATTGCGGCCCCTGGCAAAAGCCAGAGTGGGGCTTCAAACAACAAAAAATAACGTCCTAAGAAGGACGAAATATAGTTAAACAAACTATACCATAGATGCGTACATTTGACCTTAGACGTCAATTGTAGCAAGATTTTGAAAGTATCGAGGATTGACTTCACACAGTTAGTAATTTTCGTCTAACTGAACACTTTGCATGGATGTACAGCTTTTGTTATAAATGGTGATATCAATAAAAAGTTATAATTTTTAAATTCGTGCATCACCTTTCTGCTGTCAAAACCCAGAATTAGATGATTTTGGGTATTTATTTAGGAGTTAACTCTCTTGTTAAAAGCTATTAAATTGCCTCCCTTTATTTTTTAGCATTTTTGCATTTTAAGTTCCGGCGGAGGTTCCCGCGGGAGATTGTTTGTCAACACTGAAACAATTCGGGACAACTACAACAACTAGGGCCCTGTCTGGTGGAAAATGCCAAAGCGATGCAATCCTTTCGGAGATAATTTAAGTCCCCAACTAAAGATCCATGTGCGGGAGAAGGAAGTAAACAGAGGAGTGAATCACCAGACACAGATGCAGTCAGTTTATGGTAGGCCGTTAGTTTAGCGAACGACTTCAAACTTCAAGAAGTGGGGAAAGACAGTTCACTGAACTGTTCAGTGTATTGTTGTCTTCTTCTTCTTCTTCTTCTTCTTCTTCTTCTGCTTCTTCTTCTTCTTCATTTTCTTCTGTTCCTGCAGTTATCAGAAGTGTTAGGCTGAGCGAAGTATCCTTATTTCTTTGAGACTGATCCTAATGCTTTCACTTTAGTTCATGTTCCATCTTTTCTCTTACTCTAGTTTGACTGGATGTTTATTCATTGTGGCTGTTGGCATTAGAGCATTAGAGTCAGATGACCACACAATCTAACTTGTTCATTATTTAGTTAATCGTCATAATCTTATCCTCTCCATTTTAATTAATCTAAAGTACCAGGAAACTTATTTCTGTATTATCTAATTATGACGTTAGTTAATTAGTTGGGTTATCATCATTGCACCCCAAACATGTCCATAGCTGCTCAGATCCTCCCATCAGTATGAACCCCAACGTCCAATGGCTAATAGAACAAGTTCTATGTTGATTAACACGTCTTCTGGTGTGCGCCTCATTTTATGCTATGCCGATCTTAATTCCCAAGTCTGCCATTTTGGTGAGGGATGTAGATTCACTGTCCCCAAAGTCCTCTATCCTTCCCATTTCTCTGAGGGCATTAATAATATCATCGTGATCCATAGGCTGACCGTCGGTAGTGATAGCGAATCCAGCCAACCTATCAGCTCTTTCCTTTCCATCGACCGCTGCGTTTCCTGGAACAAAAAATAAAGGTGACTCCTTGCACAGTAGACTTCTGTAATGATTCAAGCCATTATGT